TTGTCTGCCCCCTGTTTCTTGTGCTGCTCGCTTCATGTGGATAGCTGGAGACACGACCCTGTCAGTGGCACGCATTGTGTACTCTCCTATGATCCTCTATCTGTCCGTACCACTACCATCTGTCCTTCTAAGCCCAGGTAGATGTGTACTGCACGCATTGCTGGTGCATTCGTTGGTGTGATTCTTCTAGAAGCCTGTTGAAGCCCGTCACGAGGAGCAAGCGTGGTCATTCCTCTAAGACCCTCTTTCTGTTTCAACCTTTGACCTGTAAAGCATGCGTTGCTGGTGTATTAGTTGGTCGTGCTACCTCTGGTTTCCTTGTGCATCTGCATTGGTGGGATGTGTTGGAGCGAATTCTCTTCGGTCAGCTGGAGACTGAAGCCTGTTGAAGCATGTCACAAGGTGCAAGCGGGTGATTCGTTCCAAGTCCTTCAAGAGTGGTGATTTTCTTATAAGGCCTTCTACTTGTTCTTGCCACCGTCACCCCAGGTAGACGTGTAGTGCACGTGCACGCCTTGTTTGTGCATTCGTTGCTTGTGGTTTCTCTTTGGTTGTGCTGTGCTGCTGCGTGCCGGATGTGCTGTTGTCAGTGTTCTGTGGTCAGCTGGAGAGGTGCAAGCCTGGCAGGAGCAAGCGTGGTGATTTCTTCTATGACCCTTTTATCTGTGTTTGCCATCGTCTTCCCAGGTAGACCTTTAAGTACGCGTTGCTGGTGCATTCGCTGCACGTGGTTCTTCTCTGTATGTTCTGTGCTTCTGTGTGTGGGATGTGCTAGTGTCTGTGTTTTGTGGTCAGCCGGAGAGGTGCAAGCCTGGCATGAGCAAGCATGGTGATTCCTTCTATGACCCTTCCATCTGGCCTGATATTTATCAGCCCAGGTAGATGCATATATTGCACTGCATACGTTGCTGTGCTGCTGGGATGTGTTGGTGCGAGTGTTTTGTGGTCAGCTGGAGGTCGAAACCTATCAGAAGCAAGCGTGGTAGATCCTTCTACCACCCTCTATCTGTCCATGTCACTATCAGCCCAGGTAGTCTTGTAGCGCACACATTGCCGGTGCTTTCGTTGGTTGTGGCTCCTCTCGGGTTTTCCTCTGCCCCTGTGTTGGTGGGATGTGCTTGTATGAGCGTCCTTTGGGCAGCTCGAGGCTCAAGCTTGGCAGGAGCAAGCGTGGTCCTTCATTTTGTAACCCTCACCATCTGTCCTTCCACCATCAGCGCAGGTAGACGTGCAGAACAGCATTGCTGGTGCAATCCTTGGTTGTAGCTTCCTGTGTCTTGTTGTGCTGCTCTCTTCATGTGGACAGCTGGAAGTTAAGCCCTGTTTGGACCAAGCGTCGTGATTCTTTCTATGAACCACCATCAACCCATGTAGTCGTTTAGAGCGCGCGTTGCTGGTGCATTCGTTTGTTGTGGTAGCTGTGCCTCTGTTGGTGGTTGAGGTGTTACTGTTTCATGGACAGCTGGATGCTAAACTGCAACAAGTGAAGGAGCAAGCGTGGTTATATTCATCCCCTTCCTAGTCTGCTGCCCATACCACACCATCCGCCCAGGTAGTTTGTTCGGAGGTATCCGCTGGTAATGGCTCTTCCCTCGTTTCTGTGCTGCTGTGTTGGTGGGATGTGCTTGTGTGAATTGTTCTGTGGACAGCTGGAGGTTCAAGCCTTTAAGGAAGAAGCGTTGTGATCCTTCTAGGACTCAGTCTATCCGTTTCTACCATTGTCTGCCCAGGTAGACGTGTAAGCCACGTTGGTGCATTCGTTGGTTGTAGCTCCTCTCTGTTTCCTGTGCCTCTGTGTTGGTGGGATGTGTAGGTGTGAGGGTTTTATGGTCAGGACTCAGCTGGAGGTGAAAGCCTGTCAGGAGCTGGTGATACCATCTTTGACCCTTTTATTTTTTGTTTCCACACCATCAGCCCAGGTAGACGTGTAAAGCACGCGTTGCCGGTGCATTCGCTGCTTGTGGTTCCACTCTGGTTGTTCTCTGCTTCTGTGTTGGTGGGATGTGCTGTTGTCAATGTTTTGTGGCCGGCCAGCTGGAGGGTTGAACCTTGGCAGGAGCAAGCATGGTGTGATTCCTACGACCTTCTATCCTCAATAAGTGAAGAATCAAGGCTGGTGGTTTCCTATTGCCCCTTTCTAGTCTGCCCATACCTCTCCATCAACACAGGTTTTTTTTCCAGAGCATGCGTTGCTGGTGTATTTGTTGGTTGTGGCTTTCTATTTCCTGTGCTGCTTTGGTGGTTCGACCGTCCTGTGGACAGCCGGAGGTGCAACCATGACAAGAGGAGGAGCAAGCATGTGTGCCTGTCTAAATCTTCCATTTCCAATATCGCCACACACACCGGGCCAGGTGAAAGCGTGTTACGCATATTTCTGGTGCATTTCCAGGTACTTGTCTCTGTTTTTTGTGCTTCTGTGGTGATGTGCCCGATCTGTGGACAGCCGGAGGTGCAATTGTGACAAGTGGAGAACCAAGCATGCGTGCCTGTCTAATCTTCCATTTCCAATATCGCCACACACACCGGGCCAGGTGAAAGCGTGTTACACATATTTCTGGTGCATTTCCAGGTACTTGCCTCTGTTTCCTGTGCTGCTGTGGTAGTATGCCCGATCTGTGGACAGCCGTAGGTGCAGCCATGACAAGTGGAGAACCAAGCATGCGTGCCTGTCTAATCTTCCGTTTCCACTATCGCCACACACACTGGTCCAGGTGAAAGTGCTTAGCGCTTGTTTCTGGTGCATTCGCTGGTACTGGTCTTTGTTTCTGTGCTGCTGTGTTGGTGGGATATGGTGGTGTGACCGTCCTGTAGACAGCCGGAGGTGCAACCATGACAAGTGGAGGAGCAAGCATAAGTTCCCGTCTAAATCTTCCATTCCCAATATTGCTACACACATCCCGGCCCAGGTGAAAGTGCATAGCTCATCTTTCTGGTGCATTAGCGCATCTTTCTGGTGCATTTGCAGGCTCTTGTCTCTGTTTCCTGTGCTTCTGTGCTGGTGAGATGTGTGCGGGTGGGACCGTTCTGTGGACAGTCAGAGAGGTGTAACCATGACAAGTGGAGGAGCAAGCATGACTGCCTGTATATCTTCCATTTCCAATATTCAATATTGCTACACATCCTGGTCCAGGTGAAAGTGCATAGTGCAGTCTTGCTCTTGTGCTTCTCTGTCTGCTACTGCTGTGTGTCTTATGATGGCGTGTGTGTCAGGCAGGACAGGTTCAAATCATCATCTCTTTCCATTCCTCCAGGTGCCCAGTGTTGCTCTCGTGCCTCTCTCTCTGCTACTGCTGTGCCCCCTGTGTCCCTGTCATGGTGGCGTGTGTGTCAGGCAGGAAAGATTCAAATTGTCATCTCTTACCATCCCTCCAAGTGCATTTGCTGCTTGTGCAGTTGTCTCTCTTGCCACTTTGTCTTGTGCCGCTGTGTTCCCTGTCTCCTTGTGGTGGTGCGATGTGTGTCAGGGCAGATTAAGGCCACGCTCTAGTGGAGTGAGAAGGGGGGAAGTGAAGTTAGTTTTTGACAATGCAGCTGCCTACACTTCTGTTTCTTCCTCTGCAAAGCAGGTTTTGAAGGCTGGTTCTTTTCGTTTCGACAGTTCTGTTAGCTCTTGAAGTCTTTAGGAATGGTATTGTGTGGTGGTGTGTGGTGTCATGTTGCTGTGGTGCTGTGCTGTGGCTAGGAAGCTGGGGAGGAGTTTACCAAGTTGAAGTGCGCACACTGCATCCTCTGCTCCTTGCAGGTGTCTGTATCGCCGTTTTTTTCTGTGCAAGCACTTGTTGCCACTAGGTTGGCGTTTTCCTTCTCTATTGTGCGTCTGGTTCTTGTGTTTCGTGGCAGGTGGATATGCACATGCCTTGCCGGTGCTGGAGGAGAGGAAGTGGCATGGTGTCCATTTAACCTTTTCACTTCTTTTCATTTGCCTGTTTCCTGCCCTTTCTTACCCTGTTTCTGCCATACATATGCATCTCCATGTATCCATATATACATCCCTGCATGTATTCATGCATGTACCATCACTTTGTATGTATGCATTTAACATTGAGTATCCTCATCTACCTCATTACGTCATACGCGTGTACACCATCTATCTTTATCGCCTAATGATAATCATATATGCATTCATCTACTCCATGAAATGTCATATGCATATACACCATCTATCTCCATTTCTGGACAATGATGAGGCAACTGCTCTTGGATTACCCGCTCAATTAGTGGGATATTGCTGAGTATACCCTCCTGGGTATGCACAGTGCGCCATACGGTTGTCACCCTCTAGGAATGGGGCTATAGCTCCTTCCTAAGGGTAGATATGGCATTCCAAGGCAGCAACCTGAGTCCATTACACCTGTTTCTTTACGGTGCACCATAGAAGGATTGGTATGTCCGTTAGGTTTTCTTTCCTTCTTGACTCTCTTGCTTAGTGTGTATTGTTGCTGCACTTAGTTGTTATGAATTTCTATGTTTCTTGTTTGTGTGTTTTTCTTTGTGAAGTACAGTGGTGAATGTTCTGTGATTTTTGGTTGTGTTGGTAGGATAAGGTAGTGAATGTTCTAGACAGTGGTATGTTTGTTAGTTATTTGCTGCTGTGATTATTGCTGTAACCTGTAGCTAGAAATGATAGTTTCCTGGTGATACGTATGATATGCTGATACATTTTCTCGAAAGATATATATTCCTTCAAAAATTTGAGCAATAACTTGTGTATTTCGTCCCTTATGGGATGTGAAGGAGCATATTGTAATTTCCATACACCCTGCTACAACATATTTCCATATTCACTATAGACTTGGAAGGAAAATCTTTCGAAAATAGTAAGTGTTATTGAGAAAATTCTAGGAAATATGACCGAATGACATTCAGAATAATCATTGACATAATACTGATCACCTTGTCATACAAATGTATCATAACGAAATTAGCCATGCGAATATATTTAATTATTCATCGTCCATTCTATGTTGCACACAGATATGACAAGCAAATGAACAGCTTGATTATCCAGAGGGCAGGTTGATGCAGATGCATGCAGATGCAGAAGGGTCGATGCAGATGCTGAAGGGTTGACGCAGATGCTGAAGGGTTGACGCAGATGCTGAAGGGTTGATGCAGTTGCACAAGGGTTGATGCAGTTGCAGACCACTTGATGCAGATGCAAAACACTTGATGCTGATGCATTGCAGATGCAGAACGGTTGATGCAGATGCAGAAGGGTTGGTGCAGATGCAGAAGGGTTGGTGCAGATGCAGAAGGGTTGGTGCAGATGCAGAAAGGTTGGTGCAGATGCAGAAGGGTTGGTGCAGATGCAGAAGGGTTGGTGCAGATGCAGGAGGGTTGGTGCAGATGCAGGAGGGTTGGTGCAGATGCAGGAGGGTTGGTGCAGATGCAGAAGGGTTGGTGCAGAGGCAGGAGGGTCGATGCAGACGCAGGAGGGTTGGTGCAGATGCAGGAGGGTTGGTGCAGATGCAGGAGGGTTGATGCAGATGCAGGAGGGTTGATGCAGATGCAGGAGGGTTGATGCAGATGCAGAAGGGTTGCAGATACAGAAGGGTTGAAGCAGATGGAAGGTTGATGCAGATGGGTTGATGCAAATGGCACACATGCACATGCACTCCAATCATGCCAATACATCCCACATACACATCCACATGCACCCACACATGTTGCCGCAAACTCATTCTCACACACCCCACATGCACACATGCACATGCACACACACACACACACACACACACACACACTCACTCACTTTCACATCACCACGCACACACACACATCATCACCATACACTCACGCATGAACAGACCACACATGCTTCCACTACATACATCCAACACATGCAGCAGTCTTGTCAACTTGTCTTCATTTCTCTGCACAGCAGCACAGACAAGCAGAATCAAACATAAAAAGCTGCAATTACAGTAGAGATATAGCAAATTGAAGTATTTACAGAATCACTCACCATTGCCACCAGGAAACACAGGGTTGCAGCACGTTGCATCCTCTCCCTTCCACTCCCCTCCACACTCCTTCCATGCTCCCACTCTCCTTCCCTCCACCTCACCCCTGCTCTCCCCACTCCCCCTTTCACTAAGTGCCAGGCCACCCCTGCTCTCCTTGTTTCCCCTCGCCTCTGCTGCCCCACTCTCCCACACCCTTGCCCCCCTCCACTCTCCCTCACCTCTGCTGCCCACTCCACACTGCACTCGCCCAACTCCCTCCCACTAGTTACCAACACCTAGCACCTCCTCCCCACCCCCCTCCACTCTCCCTCGCCGTCACCTGCTCTCCAATCTCCCTCAACCCTACTCCCCTCCACTCTCCCTCGCCCCCGCCTGCTCTCCTATCTCCCTCAACCCTACTCCCCTCCACTCTCCCTCACCTCTGCTGCCCACTCCACACTGCACTTGGCCAGCTCCCTCCCAACAAAAACCAAACACCTCACTCGTCCCCTCTCCCCTCCACTCTCCCTCGCCCCTGCTCCCCTCTCCCCTCTCCCTCGCCCCCGTCTTCTCTCCAATCTCCCTCCACTCTCTGCTGTCCACTCCACACTGCATTCGCCCACCTCCCTCCCAGTAATTACCAAATACCTCACATAGTTACAACCTACCATGTTGCACCCTACTCCCCACTCCCCTCCACTCTCCCTCTCCCCTGCTCAGCCTCCTCTCTCCCTCGCCACTACTCCCCTCCACTCCCCCTCTGCTCCCCACCACTCCTCTCTGCTTCCCACCCCACACTGTACCATTCCTTCTTGCAGCAGCACCATTCCCCCTTGTAGCAGCAGCACCACCTGTAGCAACACCACCCGTCGTAGCAGCAGCGCCCTCTTACCAGCAGCACCCACTGTAGCAACTCCACCCGTTGTAGCAGCAGCACTCCCCCTCGTAGCAGCATTACCCCCCCTTCCCCTCACCCCCCCTAGCAACAGCAGCACTCCCCCTTGTAGCATCAACACCCTTGCAGCAGCAGCACTCGTTGCAGAGGCACCACTCCCCCTTGCATCAGCACTACCCCTCGTAGCAGCAGCACTCCCCCTCGTAACAGCAGCACTCCCCCTCGTAGCAGCAGCACTCCCCATTGCAGCAGCAGCACTCCCCCTCGTACAAGCAGCATCCCCTCCCCCTCACCCCCCTGTAGCAGCAGCAGCACTCGTTGCAGAAGCAGCCGAAGCACACACCACTCCCACCAGCGACAATCAGCTATAATCACCACTCCTAAGCACCAACAGAACCAAACACCAATCACCAACCACTCTAACAAACTACTACATGTATCGGAACTATACTACTTCACAAAACATAATAACCAGACAAAAATAGTGTCTAAAAAAGGCACGCACAAGAACACGAGAAACCAAGTGTGTTAAAAAAAAAAAAAAAAAGTTGATGATTATGGACTCAGGGTGCTGCCTTGGGATGCCACGTCAGCCTTCTAGAGCAGAAGCCAAGGCTCCTTCCAGAGGGAAGGTCAACAGTGTGGCCTGCTGTGTACCCATGTGCCTAGGGGAGATGCCTTCATGAGGGTGCTCCCGACAATTACCCACTAAAAAAGCAGGTGAATTGCGCACATGGGTCACAACCCAAGAGGCAGCTGCCTCATCATAGTCCTAAGGAAATGGAGATATGTGGAGAGGCTGGGGACCGTAAAAGGGAAGATAGTATATGAAGGAATACCGTCAACTAGGTTGGGAGACAGTTGGAAAATACTTAGAAGACCGGGAGAGCTAGGGTCTAGTATGATAAGGAGACAGCTGCTTAACTAAAGGACACAAGGACATTGGGACACGGACTGCTGGGGCGGAAAGGATAATAAAGGAGGCGGACAAGGATTATGAGACAGATATGGTCGGTAGGACTAGTGGCTTTACTGTGTAGACGACTTGTCAGGTGGTGGACAGAACACAACACGACAATGGACTGCTGAGGAGGGATATGGATTATAAGGAGACAGATATGGACGGTTTAACTAGTGGTTACACTGTGTGGATGGCATATCAGGTGGTTGATCAACCTACACATGCTTCCTTCCATCGGCTCTTCACATATATTTCCTCTTCTACTTTCACTGCTACACTAACTTCACACTCAGCTTTTTGCAACCTGCTCTGTTTTCTGTCGAAGGACTCTCAAGTGCTCTTTGTGAATCTCTCAAGTACCGCTTCTCCTGAAATCTTTAACTGCTTCTCCTGAAGCTTTTAACTGTGTCAACCTATCTCAGTGTCACCACTTCTCCCACTGATATCACTACCTCTCACTCTCTCTTAAGTGTCCAGCATCTCACATCTCTTTAGGTCGACTCAGAAGTTCTCATGGGACTCTTAACCTCCTCTCCCTGTGCTTATGACCGCACACTTCTCGCTGTGCATTCTCTTATCTGTATCTTTGATGATGCAGTGCGGATATGTTGAAGTTGCTTCTTCCAATCGAAGTTGCTTGCTGCAGACATGGATACACGTCGCCCACTGCTTGCTCCTCCCATTCATCTCCTCCCCCCTTCACCACACCGCACCATACAGCACCACTGCATCGCACACAAGTACAACTGGTTGCTCCGCACCTTGCCCCACCACACAGCACCTAACAGAACCAGAAAGAAACGTTGGAAGCACCAAAAAGCCCACACTAACCGCTGGCTGGTTGAGAAGACCCACTTGCTACCCCTGCTCGAAACACCTCCACTCCCACCCCACCACACAGCACCTCAGTCAGAGACGTTGGAAGCACCAAAACACCGGCACTGACCAGTAACCAGTTGAGAAGACCCGATGACTACCGTTGCTCGAAACACCCTACTGCTCCTGCCCCACCACGAAGCACTGCACACCACCGCACAGAACCGTACGCAATCCGCAACAAAGGAACTGCTGCTACAGGCATATCCACACCTGATCGTTGTCTGCTGCAAACTGCCCTCCAATATTAAAAACCTTCAGTAGCAACTCGCATCCCTGCCCACCACACAGCACCACACAGCACCAACTTCGACCACACGCCAAAAGAGCCAAAACGCTCACACCTGACGGGACTAATTGCTGGAGAATATCCCCTTCTGCTGTTACTTGAACCGCTCTGCCACTCCTGCCACCGCATAGTACCACACAGCACCAAACGCGTCCAGAAACGAAGAACTTGCAGCTACAAGCCAAAACACTCCCACCTACTGATTCCTCCTCTGCTGCTCCAATAACCCTCCTGTAATGTTGCTATCGCCCTTGGACAGTCTTCCTCCCCTGCCGACCACACAGCACCACACCGAACTACAAAGCACCACGCCCACTCCGACCCAGCAGATAAGCTAGAATGCCAAACAGCTCACACCTGACCACTAGGCGCTTGTATTGCCACACTCGCTGCTGTTGCTTGAGAAAAAACTCTGCCACTCCTGCCCCACCACACAGCACCACACACCACCGCACCGCACAAGGTCGAATGCAACAGGAACAAAAAGCTTCCCAAAACTCAAGAGATTGCCACCTGTACTTGAGCTGCTTCGAAATCTCCTCCTCTTCATAATGGTAGGCACCTCTCTCTTCACCTCCTCTTCCACCTCTTCACAATGGCTGACCACTTCCTCTTCTGCCCACCACACAGCACCACCACAAACAACACAGCACCACACAGCACCGCCTACGACCTGACAGAAAAGACTGTTAAGGGAAACAGCCCACACCTGACCACTAGTCACTGAAGTAGTCCCAGCCACTAGACGCTTCACCCACTCCTGCCCAACCACACAACACCGTGTACAGCCAACAACGGAAAACGAAACGCTACAAGAAGCACCAGCTGATGAACTCTTCCACCCCTTGTTACACCTTGTTGTTGCCACGAACCCACAAAGTCCTCTGGTCCCCTGCCTCTCCTCTCCCTTCCCTGCAAGTCAGCCCTCCACGCAGCACCACACTCCACCACACAGCACCGTGCAAAACCAACAGCGAAGAACAAAATGCTGCAAGAAACACCACAACTGACCGCCAGCTGATAAACTCTTCAATCCCTCTCGCCACAAGCCCACAATGCCCCAGCGTCCCTGCCTCTCCTCTCCCTCCCGTGGGTATCGACCGTCCACACCAAGAGGAGACAAACCAGTAGAGAACTGCCAACTAGGAAACTGCTACCTAAAAGAAGGCTGGAACTGAGGAAACTGCAACCTAGCCAAGGGAGCCAGTAAAGACACTGTTCAAGCGGTTACTTTGAGGTAAATATGAGAAGACCAAACCATAGGCAGTAGATGAGGATTGGCAGGACGTCTAAGGATTAGGAAGAGACTCAGCTGCGACCATGGATGACTGAGCTGGGTCAAGAGCTGAAAAGTGGTAACTAAGTGGCTTGGGGAATCAGAAAGCGTACTCTGAATCATGTCAATGGAGTGGTGGAATGACCAAGTCCATGAAATTCGGTGTCTAGCTAGTACAAGGTGTCAACTCGAATTGGAGAATCGATGGAAGGGGGTCAAAATGGGAAACGGAAGGCTCATCCGGAAGGTGGGCTCAGTCGAAGGTGAATTGGTTGGGAGGGATTAAGAGGGTTTCGGCTGACATGGAAGTCTAAGGAGGCTGCGATAATGGCAGGTTGACGGTCAAGCAGTTAGGGACTCGAAGAGAAAGTATGGTTTCCACTTTAACCAAGATGGCACAGTGCAGATGAGGTGAAAAAGGTTTGACCAGAGAGCTTGAATTGAAGGCAGCTTTGACTGAGGCTCATGCATAGGAGCTGATGGTTTTGACTGAAAAGCATGAGATGATGTGATGTTGCTATGACTGAGATTCGTGCAGAAGAGCTGATGACGTGATGAGCTGACGTGGTTTGACTGAAGAGATGATGTGGCTTGGCCGAAAGGTATGGTAATGACATCATGTGGTTTGCAAGAAGTGGTTTGCAGATGTGAATTGGCTTGACGAAACTCAAAGAGTTGCAGCACCAGGAGCAAAGTTGAGAGGGAAGCGAGCAGGTACCGAGGCAGGAAGGCAGACACATGGGCCGAAGATGTTGCACTTAGCAGAAGTAGAAGAAGAGCAGGAAGAGAAGCGCACGTGCCCAAGCAGAAGAGCAGTGAACAGCCATCAGGAAAGCAGCTACAGAGCGTCACTCATCAGCTTGCCTGGTTACACTGTCTTGAATGCATCCACCACGCAGTCACATCCCCTGTTGCACCAGCTCCTGTGGTGAAGGAAAGGAGAGAAGACAGGGAGCCACCAGCACCAGCCACACAGCCCAGCAGCAGCAGGAACACCAACGATGCAGCCCAACACACAGTAGAGACACGAGCAGAGGCACGAGCAGAGGCACACAGCAGCACAGCTTCAAATGCATCTTGCCTGGATTCCTCACAGCTTCCCTCTTCAGAAGGGCCACATGAGAAGATACACCACCAAGATGAAACGCAGTAACTGCCACCACCACCCCGCCCACCTCCACCCGCCACAGCTTCACCGACCAAACCATGTTCCCACGAGCAACAGCACCCAGACGAACCGAAGACAACCGCACTGAACAGCGGCACCTGTGAACCCAGCAGAAGCAGGAGCAGACTCGCCATGACCGCAGCACTCTTCACGTGTCCAGGTGCCTCCCATGTTAGCTGTCATAACTTCGACCGAACCACTCAATAGCTCTTACCCTCACCTGCCCCCTCAGACTACACTAAGCACCATCAGCACATATCAATAACCGAGACCTGACCATCAGCTACCTATCTCTACCTCGTTCCTCACATGCATCGTTCGTCTGTACCTCCTCCACTCCACACCGTCAGTTCCATCCCATTTCACCACAACAGGCGCTACCCCAGTATCAGCCTCTGCACCTGACTCAGCCTCTCCACCTGTCACTACAAACAACCGCCTCCCACCACCACAGGCACCACGCCACACCACGCTCCACCGCCGGTTTCGTCAGCCACCTTGTTCACCTCAGCACCAACGGTCGTAGCAGTACAGTCAGCTTCTCCCGCCAGACCTGCCGCTGCATGCACAACCACACAAACCTCTGCACCAGTCTCGATCCCCTCCCCGCACGTACTCGCCGCTCACCCATTAGCCATCGGTCAACCCTACGGCGTCCCTTGCGTACCAGGGAATGTATACTGACTAAGTGCCACGTCGCACCCTAAACATCTGTCCTGCCTTGACAGTCCCAATTGCCTCGTCTATTGAGCTCGTAACCCCCAACCTGAAACAGTCGACTTTCTCCTGCTCGAGCCATACCCGCAAGCCCCGCAACCACCCACGTGCGCCAGAAACTCTCAGCCTACATCGTCACTTGCTTGCACCGTGTGTCCCACCAGTGTGGTGACTATGTCTACCAAACGTCCTTTCAGCCGCACCGTCCATCCTCCCATCATTCGCGTCCCCATCACAGCCCGTGGTTGCCCCCATCCAATCGCCAATGCGCGCACGCAGACTAACACTCGCTCCCGCGCCCACAACGCCCGCTTCTCAACACCTGCAAGCCACTCGTCTCTGCACCGTTCGCGTCCCCATAACAGCCCGTGGTTGCCCCTTTCAAGCGCCAATGCACGCACGCAACTCTCGCTCCCACGCCCACAACGCCCGCCACTCAAAACCTGCGCGCCGCTCGTCTCTGCACAAGCCTTATTCCCGTGCACGGCTCCCATCCGTCCCACCAGCGCGTCACTTCAACCTGCGAGGCAGTAGGGGGTTTGGCGAGTGTCGACCCGTTGCACCCTGTGGTTCTTCCACGTGCAGACGTAGTAGACTCACGCGCCCCACGCCCGTCCGTCGTGCGCCAATCCACCATGCGCCCATACACCGCGCATCCTTCCGCTTTGCGCCCATCCGCCGCGCGCACCCGTCCGCCACACGCCCATACACCGCGCGCACCCGTCCGCCGCGCTCGCGTTTCGTGCTCCCATCCGCGCTTCCGCCCAACCGCCCATCACCTCTGCAACTGCCATACCATCATCACCGAGCTCAGCCCATTTCCACCGCGACTGTCCCTCCAGCCTGCACCCGTGCCTGTCTCAGAAGACGCGCGCAATTGCAGCACACACTTGCCCTCGCTCGCTCAATCCCGTGCCCGCTCGCCTATTGTCCGTCCACTGAACGCACATCCACCGTGCAGCACACGCACCCGCGCCCATACCGTTGTAGTCCTCCCAGCAGACCCTTACTGGCGCTCGCACAATCCCGTCACAGTTCCTGAAACGCCCGTCCACTGAACGCCCGTCCACTTGAAGCCCGTCCGCCATGCACCCACCCGCGCGCGTACCGTTCTGGTTGTTCCCCCAGCAGCCGAGCAGACAAGCAGACGCTGCAGACAAACGCACTCGCCACTCGATAACCTGCAAAAACAAACTGTGCTGTGTCTTCCCGTAGCAGACCCACGCGCGTCACTCCATCCCACCCGCGTTCGCCCCGAGTCTATCACCACCCGCCCACCGAGCTACCTCGCCCCACCCGCGCGCTCGCCAATTCAGCCTATGGTTAACCAACAGAAGTGCAGATGTACCCCCGTACCAAAGTGCCCACGTGCAGAAGCGCCCACGTGCAGAAGCGCCCACGTGCAGAAGCGCCCACGTGCAGAAGCGCCCACGTGCAGAAGTGCCCACGTGCAGAAGTGCCCACATGCAGAAGTGCCCACGTGCAAAAGTGCCCACGTGCAGAAGTGCCCACGTGCAGAAGTGCCCACGTGCCCAAAACCTGCAAAGATAAGGGGATTGGGTGGGTGTCTCCCGTTGCAGCCCGCGGTTGTTCCAGCAGATGTGCAGACAGCAGCCACTCGTCAATCCCGCTCTAGTTCGCTCTCGCTCGCGTTGTCTCTCGCCCGCATTTCCAGTCCGCACAACTGCTCGTCACCCGCACGCCCCCGCGCGTGCACCCTCGCGTGTCTTCCCATTGTAGCCGTGGCGACAGCAGAAACCCGCACCTCTCTCACACTTTCTCGCAACCTGCAAGAAAGGGGATTGGGTGGGTGTCTCCCGTTGCAGCCCGCGGTTGTCCCAGCAGACTTGCAAACAGCAGCCACTCGCCACTCCATCCCGCTCGCGCTCGCGTCCGACCGATTTTCCATCCGCGCCCGCTCGCCACCCGCACGCCCCAACACGTGCATCCTCGCGCATCTCCCCATCCGCTCGAGTTCGCATCCAACCGTTTTTCCATCCGCGCACCCGCGCGCCACCCGCGCGCCACCCGCGCGCCACCCGCGCGCCCCGCGCGCGCGCCCTCACGAGTCTCCCCGTTGCAGCCGTGCAGACATACGCGTGTCTCTCTCTCACGTCGGTCGCCCTCCGCCGACAGCGCACTACACTTGCTATACTTCCTCCTCCAGCGACGACCTGCATAAAAAAGGGGTTGGTGGGTGTCTCCCGTTGCAGCCCGCGGTTGTCCCGGGAGACGTGCAGACAGCAGACACACGCCACTCGATCCCGCTCCCGTTCGCGTTCGCGTTCGCGTTCGCCCATTTATCGTCCGCATGACATCTCGCCGCCCGCACGCCCCCGCGCGCATGCATCCTCACACGTTTTCCCATCCGCCCACGTTCGCATTAGCCCAGTTATTCATCCGCATAACCGCTCGTCTCGCCACCCGCACGCCCGCGCGTGTACCCTCGCGTGTCTTCCCGTTGCAGTCAAGCAGACGGCAGACATACGCGCTTCCTCCCACGTCGCTCGCCCTCTGCCAACCGCGCTTGACACTTGCTATACTTCCTCCTCCGGCGACGACCTGCATGAAATGGGGGTTGGTGGGTGTCTCCCGCTGCAGCCCGCGGTTGTCCCGGCAGACGTGCAGAAGCAGACACACACGCGCCCGTGCTTCGCCCCGAATCCATGTCTTCTCCGTTGCCCCACTCGTTCGCGTCCCCACACACGTCTTCCCAAAGCCCGAGGTTCTCCCAGCAGCAATGCGTCGCAGACACACGCGCGCCCCTCTCACATCGCTCGCCCTCCAGAGATCACGCTTCATACTTGCTCGTACTTTCTTCTCGACCTGCAAGAAAAAGGGGAAATGGTGGGTGTCTCCCGCTGCAGCCCGCGGTTGCCCCAGCAGACGTGCAGGCAGCAGACACACACGCGCGCGCGCCGCGCCAACCTCCCCCGCTCACGTCCCGCCCGCTCGTGCTTTCACCTCCGCTCGCGTCTTCCAACCAGCGTCCACGGTTGTTCCAGCAGACGTGCAGAAGGCAGACGCGCGCCACTCAATACCGTTCCTCGCCCCACTCGTTCATTCCTCATCCCTGGACGTTCTTTCACTTCAAACCGCATCTGCGTGTTTGTTTCGTCATCCTGCAAAAAAGGGGGGGTGGCGGGTGTCTCGTGGTGCAGCCTGTGTTGTCCCAGCAGACGTGCGGACCGCAGACACACGCGCTCGTTTCTGGCTCTCCCAATCGCTCGTTTCTCGCCACGAACTTCGCTCCACCTCCGCTCGCGTCTTCCCATCAGCGCCCGCGGTTAACCCAGCAGACGTGCAGACAGCAGACGCGTGGCTCTCCACGACGGCCGTTCAAATCCTTCGCGCGTTCACCCCTCAAGCCCGCACCCTCGTGTCTTCCCATCAGCGCCCGCGGTTATCCAACAGACGTGCAGACAGCAGACACGCAGCAGAACGCTCGCTTCACAACCTGCAAACAAAAGGAGAGTTGGCGTGTCTCCCGTCGACGCCTGTGGTTGTCCCAGCAGACGTGCAGCCAGCAGACACGCACCGCTCGCTCCCGCTCCTCGCCTAACCGCATTCGTTGCTCGTGCCATACGTCTTTCCCGAACATCTCTCTCTGGCAGTCCTCTCAAAATCCTGCAACAAAAATGGGATTGGTGGGAGTGTCTTCTCCTGCCGCCTGTGGTTGTCCCAGCAGCCGTGCAACCAGCAGACACGCGCCACTTAATCGCACGCGTTCGCGTTCGCCCGGCACCCGTTCTTCCTACTCCCTCCGCGCACCCATGCGTGTTGCAACCGTCCGTTCGTCCCAACCGCCACACAACCGCCTGTTTCAGCCTTGAAATCTGCTCCTTCATGTGTCGTCCCGCCGCAGCCGGTGCTTCTTCACGCAGCCGTGCAGACAGCAGACACATGGCGCGCCGATTGATTGTGTTGTTCCGTCCGTTCAGCACTCGCGCTAACCACCCCTTGTCGACTTGCTTGCGTTCGTTTCTGCTGAAATTGTTGCCCCCACAGACGCGCCAACATCAGAAAGCTTGGACTCAGCAGTGCAGCAAACCCTCTCTCCCTGCACGCTCTCTCCTTTGTCCTGGACGCACAGAATACCACGGAGCAGCACACAGCAACGGCAACACCCAGGAACGACCACCTGCCTAATGACCTCCCTGTCCCACTAACAGTTTCAAAAAACACATGCAAAAGGAAAGTAGACTAGAAGACTGCAAAAGCCATTGTCTGATATATACGCTACGGCCGGAAACGACATAAAACGCATTCTCTGGTATGTGCGCAACACACGAAACTTAGAAACACAAACCTCTCAGACACACCGGAACAGGACAGGCGGAATCTGCTCAGAACGAAGGGTCACAGGCGATGGCAACCGACGGCAGAGGAGAATCAGCGGACGCGGAGAACGCACGCCAAGCACGAGACGGTAGGATGCACGCAACGATGCTGACACGGATAGACGGCAGTAGACGTGTAGACGGCAGTAGACGTGTAGACGGCAGTAGACGTGTAGACGGCAGTAGACGAGTAGATGGAGGTAGACAGGTAGACAGCAGTACACGAGTGGACGGAGGAGCAGACGGAGGTAGAAACGTAGACGGAAGTAGACACGTAGGCAGAAGCAGATGAGCATGCGGACGTAGACACGTGCAGACAGAGGCGGCAGAGGTGTAGTAGCAGACACACGCAGAGCGCGGGCGGGGAGAAGACGCAGAGAGGTGGCGCACGGCGGGTAGGGATGACGCAGGGAGGGGGAGAGCGAGAAGAGCGGCACACCACGCAGCCTGGACGGGGGAATTGACTGGCAGGGGAGGAGAAGAAACGCGGAGAGGACAAGATTATGGGGCCAGGGGGCCCGGGGGAGGGAGGGAGAGGGGGGGAAGGGGAGGAGGGGAGGAGAGGGGGAGCAGGAGCACCAACCACAACAGTCGAGGAACGCCTAAGAGGGAAGGCAAGGCAGCAAGGAGGCAGGGAAGAAAAACGAGAAACGCAGTGCTTAATCGAACCACTAGCCCAGGAACCTTGGGGTGGAAAGAAAGCATGGGCGGAGACGGCAGAGACGGCAGAGACGCGCAGGGATGAAGCGACGGTTGGGAAACAAGCGACAGTAGCTAATGCGACGCAGGAAGCTTAGCAAATCAGGAGCGCGAGCACAGGCGGCGGAAGAAGGGAGAAAAACCTAGGAGCACAGCCTGCAGGAAGCAACGAGGGGAGGCTACAGGAAGACGGAGGAGAAAACAGGTTATGGGCCCAAGGGGGCCCAGGGAGGGGGACGAGGCGAGAGAAAGAGGAGCGCCGACGCCAACCAGGAGAAAGGGACCTAAGGCAAGGAAAACAGGCCAAGAGCACCAACGCCTACTGCACTGACGAGGAGCGGAACACTAAAAATCACAGCGGTTGGGGAACCTCTGAGGAGTAGCAACGCGGCTGAACGAGTAGTGACGGCCGAGAATAGAGGTGGAGGAACGCGGCCTGTGGGGGCGAGAGCGGTGTGGCTTGGAGAGGAAGGAAAAGAGACACAGGTTATGGGGCCAGGGGGCCCGGGGGGGGGGGGGAGTGAGGGGACAGGAGCGGGGAGCGCCAACGCGGGGGGCAAGGAAGACTCGACGCGACAAGACAGGCCAAGAGCACTGACGTCTGACACACTGCACGAAGAACGACGGAGGGAGCTGCGATGGAGCGAGACAATAACGGGTCAGCAGAGCACCGAGGAAGGCAAGAAACCTGGCGAGGAAGAGCGGAACACATGAAGGCTTAGGGACGACCGTCGGCAAGGGAAGGCGGCCTGTGGGGATACGCGCAGTGTGGCTAAACGGGGGAAAGAGGAAGGAGACACAGGTTACGGGACCAAGAGGCCCCAGAGGGGAGGGAGGAGGGGGGGGAGGGGACGCCAACCAGGAAGAGCCCAGGTGGAACGCAACGAGTGAAACGAGACCGCGCCTGCCTACAGCCTAGACGAGAGGTCACAGGGAACGGACGCAGCTAATGGCGAGGGGCATCCGAGGATCAAAAGGAAAGCGAAAAGTGGTTACTACGATCGACCACACCGACCGTTTAGAGTCCGCAGTGGCAGTCTCTTCTTGAGAAGTCTACGTGGGCGAATAAGCGAGAACTAGTCGCAGACACCTGGTGTGCTGCTGGCAGGAACTTAATAACGGAGGGAAAAAAAAAAAAGGAAAACTCAAAACCCCAGGGCCCCCGAAGGGGATGGGGAGGGGGGGAGGGGACCAAGAAGCAACAAGCCTGGCACTAGACGTAACAACCAAGGAAAATATAATCCGAGACTGTGATGGAACGAGGTCGCTAATTAAACGTAGACGAAAAAAACGCACAACACCATCACAGAGCTACAGCTACCCGGTCGTTATTTGAGCAAATCTCCGTCACGTGCTGCGTGGGCCGCTAGTACCGAACGCTACTGGACGGCGTCCTGTCCGCCAGGCTGCTGGGATGGAACGGACTACGGGAACGGAGGGAGGAGAAAAACTGAAACCCCAGAGCCCCCGAAGGGGATTGGGACGGGAGGGGTGCGAGATGCAGCAAGACTACGAACAGCAACGCGTGGTCAAAGACGCAGTAAGAACTCTCGAACAGTCAAAGACGACGCGAGGAAGGACGCAGTATTAACGACACCAGTCAGAGACGATGAACGCAGGTAAGGTGACCGAAGGCAGGTGAGCTGGCCTAAGGATTGACGGTAGATTGAAGCGACGGCTGTGCAGGACCTCTCGAAGCAACTGCGACGACTCAGTTGTGATGTGATAACGAAAGATAACCACGCGGCCGTCATACTGTGCTGTCTGTGGGGCAACAACAGCCACAGCGAAAGGCAGCAGAAAAAGGTGAGAGCCCCAGAGCCCCCAAGGGGGAATAGGGCAGGAGGGAGGAGCACCCAGGCAGAATCTGGACGGAAACCATGGTGGAAGCACCACCTGTTAATGGAGTGCGTAAGATA